AGACAGATCCAGTTTATGTGTGATCTAGGCCCAGACTGGTATATAGACAGATCCAGTTTATGTGTGATCTAGGCCCAGACTGGTATATAGATCAACCCCCTTTTACATTTGATCGAGTTCCAGGCTGGCATATACACAAATCCATTTTACGTTTAACCTAGGCCCAGACTGTCCAACGTAATTATTTTATGTCTAATCTGCGTACTGTGTCCCTTTTTCATATGCAATAGATCCAGAATTAAAAAAATTTGTGTAATTTAGGCATTATAATTTTTTGTTTTTCTTATGTATGTCTATATGTCTACATCCCAGTTCATTAACCAGTCTTAACTAACTGAACTTAATGATATAATACTGTTTTAAGGGTTGTAATATTTTTATACCAGCTATGCTGATACTAAACAAACTATCCATATACATAATTTTGGCTGTATATATAATATATGGAATTTCATTATACTGAGAATAAAACTGTCCTGTAAAAAGACATACAGCATTTATAACTGTACTGTAATAATGTAAAGAACCTTAAAATTGGTAATGGTGAAAAAAATCATTTTAGATTTACACTTTCAATTTCATTGTAGCCTCAGTGTAAATAGTGTAACCAACAGTAAAACCAACAATAAAACACAGTAGTTACCGTTTAATAGCACGTTGTAAGTTTAATGACATCAACGGCTTCCAAACAACAAAAAAGGTTCTTTGCATGCGGACCATGCTGGCAAATCCGCACATGTAAACCAGACACGGAACCGTCCATACTTCTGCGGTCAGGCCCACACAATCCGCACATGTAAACCGGACACGGAACCATCCATACTTCTGCGGTGAGGCCCACACAATCCGCAAATGAAAACCGGACACGGAACCGTCCATACTTCTGCGGTCAGGCCCACACAATGTCGAACATGCGTAGTGGGTGAGGAGCTGGGCACTCGATGGCCACGCAGACATGAGGTATCGAAGCTGAGAGCGTTTGCCAACAGAGAACTGCATTCACGTCGATCGCGTCATAAATGTCTGTATGAACAAGCCTCTACTGTAATGAAAAAAGCAAGCTGGGGGGAGGCTGCATATACAGGGACAGTGTGAGCCAGTTTAACTAACCGGGGGCCAGCTCAGTGGACAGGAGACCTTAAACTCATCCACATCTGATCAATAAATACAGCTTTTAAATGCTTAAGCTCCAACTACTTCTTCTCTGCATATTCCATGCAAGGATAAAGAAATTGGGGAAGAGATTTTTTCCATTTAAAGATCACATAAAAGAGTGTCCCTTCCTAATTCATTTTTAACCACTTCCCGCACTGCTCTGAAGGGTCAGGTTTAATAGAGGCTTTTTCCCACCGATCGTAATATTTCCGCATGGATGGATCTCAAAGGCCCCTAGACATAAAAGCCACAAATCTCTTAACCTGGGCCACCGGTGTGAAACACATATACTCCCGGTGCTCGATGACACATAAGTCGTTAAGGAGCGAGCTTCTGTACAGCAGCTCACACTCCAAAACCCGATTCAGCAGCCAGGAAACTAAACAGCAAGCGTAGCCCCCACCTCCAGAAGCCTTTGAGGGGGCATTCAAATGGACGACTCCTGATAATACAGTTCTATTAGGGTTTTCCATTCCTGCCGATAAATCTCATCTTCTCTCCTGCAAGCCTGTATACCCCCGAGAGCCAATTGATTTCTCTTCTGCTTTTAAAGCTTTTTTTGTTTTTGAAGTCACATATGAAACGCTTTTTGAAAAACAAAAAGCTGACAGTGATACTGTGATTGAATTAAACTCCCTGTAATCTTGCCGGTTCTTCGACGCCATGATCCAATTGAACCCCGTGTAACATTTCTTTTGGCCAGCAGAATGCACCCCGGAATACACCTAAACCTAATTTGTCACTACAGTCAATGAGTAAATTGCTTTTAAACCACCCACCGGGCCACAAAATGCCCTTTCCCCCATAATGCTATAACTTTAATCTCTATAATCGTGCTATGGATTTGAGAAAGAGTTACAAAAAAAATTTAATTCAACAACTGGTACTTCTACCACTACTGCAATATTGCTACTATTACCAACATTAGTTGCACCATGACCAATGAAGAGGATTGAAATAAACTTGAAATGCGTTTAGATACTTGAAACCTTGGACAGATTTTTTTTTTTAGTAGCTACAACTTGAAACTGCTTGTATTTTGCCATTTCCACTGGGAAAAAGTGAAAGTTCAGCAGGAATATCCTTTTTCCGTGAAATCGGACGTGCTCTTTACATTTCCATGCACACATTTAAGAACAGCTAATCCGGGTAAGAATCTTTGTCCTACTGTATTGGATCACCTTGCTCAGGAAAGCCATTTGGGACATGGCACAAAGTGAAACATAATAGGGTTTTCTTTTTTTTTTTTGGGCGGGGGCATTCGAGGGTATTAATTTTCACCAGGAGGAGATAAGTTTCAGTCACCACAAAAGCGCAGTGCTAATCAGACACGGGGAGTAAACAGGAGGTGGAGATAAGAGGGTGAGAGAGTAGTGGCAGCTGCCTTTGCGCTGCTCATGGGATTCACAGAAGGTCAGCAGTAGGCCTGTTTCCGGTAATGAGGCACAAGGCTAATTATCCAACGTGTGGCACACCGTCTCCGCGGAAACCTAGAGAAGCGCTGATGACTCTGTTCCGAGGGGGTAAAAGGCACAGAGGATGGGGCAGGGAAACACACATTGTTCCTGATATGAGGGGTACTGCTCCACCTACCACATACCCCACCATACCCTGAGTGCACCTCCACCTGGGCTGGTGGAGAAACCCGGACATGGCTCACACACTCATCTGGCACAGGCTGAGGAGATGGGGAGGGGGGGTTTGTGCTGCATGCATATTAACCCTTCGAGTGATTTCTGTGACTTGCGATAAGCAGAAGGCCAATAGCGGACCGCTCTTGTGACACACAGATAGCTACAAGGCGTAATTACAGTGCCGTTCAGTGGCAGCCTGCTTCTAAATCAGTCTCACAAAATGGATATTCTCTCAGCAGTAAGCAACAAGTCTTTATGTAACAACACACCCTTATCTAAGAATGGCTGGAGTACAAAAGAAAGCACCTTTAAAAAAAAAATTCTGCTTAAAATAAAGTACTAATTGATAGTTATATATAAGGAAATATATAATGTTTTGGGACAGACTTGGTTGCTGTTTACACAAAGCAAACAAAAAACTGAATCGATAAAAGAATACCAAAGAGACTCGACACAGAACCTTGCTGGGCTTTAAAAACAAAAAAAAAAAAGCATGTGACACAGCACTGTGTGACATTTCAGGAACAATGACAAATAACTTTGTCTTAACAATCGTGGGGAAAACTGACGAGTGAAAAGCCTTGTATAATGGGCTCTTCCTTGAATTATATTTACAAAATAATGGACCAATAATAACTCAGGCGACAAAAACATAAAAAAGAAAAAAAAAAACCAGGACGCCTTTCAGGCTGACATAAAGCCTCAGCACACGTAGTCATTTTCTGAGCGGCCCAGCAAACGAAAGGCTGGAAAACCGGCTCATTTAAATCTACACCAAACAAAAGCAATTCTCAAAGTACCTTTTTGGTGAATGACTAGAATTAGGATGAATATATCAGACAAAGGTCCACTTTTTGAGTGTGTCCAAAAAGAAAAAAAAAATATCTGGGGGAAAAAGGTACTGAAGGAAAAGAACGAAAGAACAGCATCCCCTAGTCAAGGCTAAAAGCCCGCATTCGCTCTATCCTCATGGATCAGGCCCCAGGTTTAAAAGGCTCAGCTCAGACCTCACTTCAATTACTCCGTGGCAGGGCTCAAACCAGCCGATGGTGGGCTGTCAGAAACTGGGGGGGTTTGGTTATCAGCGACCGACCCCCCCCCCCCCCCCGAGCTGATGGGGTCATGGCTGCCCCCAGCCCGTCACTGTAATTGAGTCATCCGTCTTGTGTCAGCGAGCTGCTAATGAGAAGCCTTCCTGGTGGTGGTCTGGCTTGCAATTTTTGGGGGGAGGGGGGTGGTAGCTGGGACTGGAAAGCTGGTTTTCAAGGCGACCGCTTAGCTTGTAAGCCTGGGGGAAGCTTTTGTTTATGTCTGATGCTCAGCAGACAGATACGGCTGAGGTTAGCTCACGCTGCGCCGCGGCGC